CCCCCCCCCATCCCTCCCCAGCCCCCCTCCTTGGGCACTGGGTATCTCGTCCAGCCCCGTGACCTTGCGGGACACTTACCTGCACGACAGGATCTTCTCATTCACAGACGACCTTTATTTTTCCAGTTGCTACCTGCAGTTTAAGATGCACATTGTGATAAGCAAAAAAAATTATGGTAATAATAGAGAATATCCCTAATGATGACTATTATTATTACAAAAATGTAAACCTGCATGCTGTAAACGTGGCTCGCGGAAGGGAACTGTACAGTGTAAGAAAAGCAAACGGACTTAACCCTTTCCAACCTGGGGTAGTTGGCTTTGTTTTTGGTTTTTATTTTTTTTCCCATTAAATATTTTTTTTATTATTATTATTTATATAAAACACATCCCAACCAGAACAGATTTGGTCGTCTGTTGTGATTTATTTTCTTTATTTTTAGGCTTTGGGAAGAAGAGAGAGGGAGAGAGAGGAGGATTTTATGTGTCTTATGGCGGAGAGGCTCTGGCGTCTTTCATATCAGTCACACGCACAATCGGGCACGTGTTGCTCTCCGAGCGTCTCCACCGGCCAATCCCGCCGTTTAGATTAGTCAGTCACCCTCGCCACCGGCCAATCCCACCGTTTAGATTAGTCAGTCACCCTCGCCACCGGCCAATCCCGCCGTTTAGATTAGTCAGTCACCCTCGCCACCGGCCACCTACCTGACTAACCTGGACTTTGATCCGCCCTCGTGCCAAAGTGCATTACGGTGTCGCCGGGTGGGGTAGGCGGCACTCTGACCCGAGACGGTGTGTAGCCAGTTGCGATGCCCGCGTACAAACGCCTGAGCTGCTCCTGCTGATCCCGGCCATCGCGGGATGCGGGGCCCTCAGCACTGACCTCAGACTCTCACTGAGATTTCAGCAGGATTAGGGGGCATCAGGATAGGATTAGACGCTAAAATGGAGCCGCGGTTCTTGGACAATCTGTGTCTGTTGTTTTCACGCAGATTATTACACAGACCGAAATGCCAGAATCTGCTACCTAAAGGTTCGATCAACCGTCATTCTGTATTTTAGCAGGATTGTTTTTGTCTTACAACAAATGTATCTTAGGCATTATTACTGTTATTAGTATAATTAGTTATGATAATTAAATGGACAAATTTTTCAATGGAGTGGCTGGCACAGAATGAAATTTTTGGGGTGTGAAATTTGGACTGTATAATGCCCATCTTTTCTTTCTTTTTTCTTTTTTTTTTTTTTTTTTAACTTATAGCAAATAATCAGGTTGTCGATGAGAGCCAGTGCCAAGTTCCTTCTGGATCTTTAATTGATGTTCGATTTTCTTGACTGTCATGAATGCTTTTCAGTAACTTGGTGAAGCAAAACAAACTCTGAGGGTTTCGTTGTGGGGGTGGGGGATTAGGTAGCAGAAACCCAAGCTCCTTACAGTCATACAGAGTAATGGTTAATATGTTTATTGACAAATCAAAAACAAAAATATCTAACAAATTAACGTTAGTTGGTCCCTCGACAAATCTGGGAGGAATTCAGAAAATGTTTTTCACAGTCAAAATATAATGCACAATAATGGCTTTAGCCACTGAGAACTTTCACGTATGGTTTGTTAAAGTCTTACAGTCCCAAGACTATTTGTCTAGTTTCATTGAAATACAAAAATTTAAATAAAAATGGTATCTAATGGTGTCCTGGTAGGTTGTGCTAAAACTCTTCACTCTGTCACATGCAGACTTGCACAGTAATGTTTCGGATGTCGGACAGGCTACGTGTTTTACGATGACCGATGTTTATATACCATCTGTATCTCGACATATATCGGCAGAGACAAAACAAGGAGGTATTTTCTTGTAATATTTGACTCAATAAAAAGATGCCTTTTATGCTTAACCCTAAAACGTACATATATGATCTATTCCGCTGCCGGTTATCATAATCCCTTTACGTCAGGTTCTAAACAGACCTTCCTAGATACGTATTTGGTCATTTGCGCTGGGGAATGATAGCAGGCGTAGGTGTTGCTCATGGCCGTCGATCTCGGGCTGGCTGGGAGGTATGGCACCCCACCTGCATACAGAGAAGCTTACTAAGGCTCATAAAGACACCGGTCCTCTACATTCTGCTCTAAATGAAAGGCAAATTTCAAGCAAACCTGAAAGACAGCTTCATGCTACAAGACTCCAGAGGTAACCAAATATAAACCCTTATCTCATTTCTTCATTGTGAACTAGACGGGTTCTTGGATGCATCAAACGTCATATACACGTATAAAGCACAATGCATCACTCATCAGGCGTCGTGCGTACGTGTGGAGTTCATAAATTCTAGATAAAATTAGCTAAATAAATCTCCCATTATGGATGCTTAAGTAGGAACTCGGAACTCCTTAGGCTTGATGTCATTTCGCCGTCCCGACTGATTGAAAGAGCGAACGGGGGAAAAAAAAAAAATCAGAAGGTATTTGCCATACAGGGAAAGTAACACAGGATTTTTTCATTGTCCACGAACCAAAAAGTTAAGACGCAGCAGCGATACAGACCAATGACCTTTGTGACACAGGGCCACGGGTGTAAGACTAAGGACAAGAAGAACCAGGATTCACAGTGGCGTCGTCAGTGCAGTGGAAAGGCCCTTTCAGCATTATAACACCCCGTCTCGGAGGTAGCTGTACTGCAACTTGACCGAAACGAGATCCAGCTCTGAGGACCAGGTGTGGCCCTCTGTTGGAGGATTCAGCTGCTGAATCACAGACAGGGGAGGGACTAAATGTTTATATACAGACCTATTAGCTTTTTATACCTCCTCCCCCCCGTACAGACTGTAGCTGATCTATGGGGAAGGTTGTGGGTTCAAATCCCAGGGAGCGAACATAAATTTGAACCCTTCCCTCTACTTTAAGTTGCTCTGGATAAAAGTGTTAGATATAGTAATATAAAAAAAGGTCTGGAAGGCATTGCTGGGAGTTACACTGGGCTGTGGTCAGGGGACACAGAGACGGCAGTAGCTATGCACTCCGAGCTGCCTTTGGGCACCTGGAGGACCCTGTACAGCCGATCATCCAGCCCCAGGGCCAGCTTGTCCGTCAACTCGGCCACGATCATCTGCGGGCCGTAGCCAGTGCCGGGGCTGCCGGGCCTGGGGGGCTCGCCCTGCTCCGATGCTGGAGGAGGGGAGTCAGAGGCTCCTCCTCCACCACCATCAGGGCTGACCTTTGACCTTTCCTCTTGGGCCTCCGCGCTGGGTATCTCGCCGGTGCCCTCGCCGCCCTCCTCGTCGGCCGCGCTCACGATCCGCGAGAGCTTGCTGTGGTAACGCACGTCCAGCGGGTAGGTGGCGCTGTCACCCCGGCGCAGCCCGCCGCGCTGCCTCTCCATGCCCAGTGCGGGGAGCCGCATGCCGGGGTCGCTGTACTGCTTAGTCCGCTGCCACTGCTTGCGCAGGTGTACGCGGGAGCGGTGTTTCTGTCTCACCGGCGACTCCTGCTGGTCAAACTGGGGGTCGTGCCGCAGGAACTCGTTGAAGAGCGCGTCCGTCTTCTCGTCGATGCTGTAATCCCGCCGACGGAAGCGGGGCAGCGGGCTCGAGTCCCGAGGGCCAAACGTCTCCCCGTGGGGAGACCAGTCGGCCGGGCTGCACCCCCCTGCGGTGGCCCCGGCTGCGGCCTCGTCCTCCAGCTCCTCCTCAGAGAGACGCATCTCGAAGCTCTCGCACACGCTGACTTTGCGACCCGAGTTGGTGAAGAAGTGCCGCTTCTCCGACGCCGTCTTGCCCTTGCCGCCACCAGGGGGCGCAAACAGCCGCGCGTCCTCCGGGGCGCGTGAGGGGGCCTCGATGGAGGCGTAGCCGCTGTCCATCTGCAGCAGCTTGCGACTCGCCGCCTCGCTGTCGCTGCCTCGCTCCGAGTCCACGCTGTCCTGCTTGACCCGGCCCCTGTCCCCCCTACCCACATCGCTGGGCAGCTCCACCTCCAGCTCATCCCCAGTGTCCTGCGAGGGATAGCTGGCCAGAGCCCCCCCCGCGGCTCCGCCCCCCAGCGAACTCACGCTGCCGGCGTCGCTGCGGACCGAATCCCTGTCGTTGTTGCTGCTTTGCTCGGAGGAGGCGTACTGCTCCAGCGAGGCGCGCAGGGTCCAGATGTCGCGGTACAGTGTCAGGTGCTCGGTGGTCTCCTGGCAGCCGTGCGATGGCCCCCCCCCGGACAGCAGCTCCTCCTCTTCCTGGGACTCCGACGGCCCCGCTTTCACTCCTGCCTCCCCGTTGCTACTGGCCGCTGCCACCTCCCCCGCCTCTAACCTGCAGGGGGAAACCCCAGTATTAACTGCCAGGAACCCCCCCCCCCCGGTCCACAGCGGGGTTTTAGCGCACAGTCATGCTTACCTGCAGTTTCACATGTTTCAGGATCATTCCCAGGACACACATACACATGCATGGTTTGTGTCGACCAATGGCTGTAAAGCGCTTTGCTGATTGGCAGTTACCACTAGCATGTCCGGGTCATATGACCTAATGATGGTCTTAAGATTAAAGATTATAATTGGCTGGGAGACATAGCCAGTGGATGGGGTGGCACCACGAGGCAGCATGATGGCCAGGGTATTAAAGGTACCTGCCGAGGGAAGGTGATAGCGTAGAGGTGGGGGCCCGGTGCTGGACGCGGGCGATGTGCTGGATGAAATCCAGGTGGGGTGAGCTGTGCTCGTCCTGGTCTGTGCTCTCGCTGGCTGCCCGCTGGCGCTGGAATTGGTGTCTCTTGGGGGATCCTGGGGAAAGAGACAGAACCGCGGCATAAATACAGAGCACCTCCCTGAAAGTGAAGAAGCTGTGTAATATCTGTAGTTGTCATGGGACTGGGGTTTTGGGTGTATATTAGCCGCATCCTTTATCTGTACCACCACCGGGGGCAAGTGCAATGTGCTGAACAGAAAACAGGCGCCGCCTCTTCTCCTGTCTGGCCAATCAAAGGAAAGTGCATTCCATGCGTGTCACTTCCTGTGTCCCGGAGGAATCCAAATGGAATTTCCTCGCTGCTGCTAGTGTTTTCCTTTGCCACTTTGGGGTTATTGGGGTAGAGTGGGATATACGCCCATTGCGGGCAGTGATGCAGAAGGTTCCGGAATATGGCAGCAGCCAGGTAGGGCGAGAAGCCCCCGTCAAAGTGAGAGGCACCACATCTGCTGTTTCCTGGGCATGTGTTTTGCGAACCAGTCCCATGTTGTTTAGAAAGCCCTGTTTTACATTACGCAAAGTAATTCTGTTCAATTACACTAAAGCAAGGGGATATTACTCAGTGTAACCTGATTAAGATTCATGTGCATCTGTAATGCGTCCATAAGCCTAATGCTAGATTCATTGACTACGGAACCAACCACCTCCTGGGAAATGATAAATCCCACTTTCTTCCAAATGTCTCATTCATCATTAAAGAAGAGGTTAAGGTTGGCAACTGGGTCCAACCAGTTCTTCCTGTCATGATAATTTTGACAATCAGACCTAATTTATCTTTTTTTTCTGCAGTTATGTTCTTGTGGCTAAACTCCTGTCAGCTTAGATTTATCTCCATGGTCAGAAGAGTCACACAGCAGATCCGCTGGGTGTTCAGCCAGAAGCAAACTCTAAATCTGTCTTTCACCTGGTTAAGCATTAACTTATCGCTGCTCAAACTCCAGAATGAATCTTCATCTGCTGATTACCACATACATTTGAATGTATTTCATTAGACAATAATCGGAGTACTTCATAAAGTAGCAGTTGATGATTTGGTATGGTAACCATTAGGCTGTTGGCTCACATCCCCCACTGATCACCCCTTAAGCTGTTACAGCGACTGTCCAGTCAAGAAAACAGCCATCAAACTGTGATCCACTTTGGTTGAAGTCACATGTGTGTTAGCGTAGCGTGTTAGCGTAGCTTGTTAGCGTAGCGTGTTAGCGTAGCTTGTTAGCGTAGCGTGTTAGCTTGCATAGCCACAGCACCCCGACAGACGCCCACCTCGCACGTCCAGGCTGGAGGCTCGCTGGATGCTGTCAAACTTCCACTTCTTGATCCTGAAGTAGGGGCTGATGCCCTCCAGGCTGGCGTGGCGGCGCAGCTTGGTGAAGATCTGCAGCACAGTGCCTTGGCTAGATGCTGCAGTCGCCATGGCGCCCGTCGTTCCATCAGCGGTGACGCCGATCCCCGGACTGCTCCCATTCCACTCCTGTGCTTCCATGATGTCAATCTGCAGCATTTTTAGAGCAGAGGATTCTGGGTAGTGGGGGAAGGGGCAGTTTCTGTGCCGCCCCCCCCCCCCCCCGCCACCAGTTCCCTCAAAACTCTGCTTTCACTAACATAGACAGGCTGACCCAGATGCCCTACACTCCATTCTGTCACTCTTTCAACACAGAGTAACAAGGACTGTCACTTCTAGTCTATATACTTTTTCTATGTTCTTAGCTACACAAAGTGATGTGCATTACAATGTACGCCTTTTATTATTAACAGGACCCTTTGAACTCTCAGGTTTAAGGACCTCCATGATGTAGCTGGCAACATTCATTCTGATAAACAGAAAAGAGAGCCAACAAGTTCTTAAAAGCTTGCCAAAATCCTACAGGGAACCCATGGCTGAAATAAACCATTTAGAACCACCACAGCATGTTTATCCAGCTAGCTGTTCCGTCCCTGTAAGCGGTACAGTGCTTTTGCTATTACTATGGTCGCGTGAACTCACTGAGCGGGAATGGGGCAGCCGGAGGTCGGGAATGGGGAAGCTCTCGTCAAAGTCAGCATCCGCAGTGGAGTTTAAGGCATCCCCCGGGAGGCCGGAGCACGTGCCGAGGCCCACCTTGGCCATGGCGGTCTGGGGCGGCACACGCACCGGGGGCTGGGGATGCACGGGCAAAGTCAGGCCTTGGCAGCCGGCAGATAGCGCCGAAGCTAAGCTAAGTGAAGGAAATCCACATCACAGCAACCAAGGTCATCTGGAAAGAGGCCATTCGCGGGGGGAAAATCCCCTGCTCACGAATAGCTGACAGACATTTTAAACTGCATACACACCAGTTCCCAAAAACATTCTTATTTGTTGCCTGATTTAAATCTGATTTCAGATGCTAATTTAATTTAGTGCTTCTTGCGAAGCCTTGATTTGCTCACTCGGTGCTATCAGGGCACCGTGACGCTGGCCCAGGTTTTCCAAACTGGCCTTTGTTTTCATTACCTGGAAGATGGAGAGTTTGGGTTTGGAGGAAGGCTGTTCGGGGGACTCGGGGATGGTGAGGATCTTCAGGGCAGGGGGGGGCAGGTGGAGGTTAGTGAGGCGGGCATTCTTCAGGTGATGAAAGTCTCCCTCGGTGAGTGTGTACCTGATGTGGGGGGAGAGGGAACCTATTTTCAGAGTCAGAATCAGAATTTTTTACTGCAATTGCATGATTGTGCACAAAAGAAATCTATCACAGAGAGATGTGGAAAGTTCAGATCCAGAAAGTACAAATCCAGACCAAGGTTTTGTTTCAACCGACCAGTTTCATATTCTGTGACTCTGACACTTAATACTCAACTGGTTGGTCGAAACAAAAGCTTGGTCTGGATTTGCACCTTCTGGACCTGAATTTTTCCACATCTCTCTGTAATAGATTACTTTTGTAACTTCGCCAACACTAACTGTACATCACAATGAAAAACTAGCTCACTCTGAATAGCAGCGTCAGTAAACAACAAAGACACAAGTCAAAGGACAGATTTGGAAACAAGAGATAACAGATGAAACTGCCCTTTGACGGACATCCTGATTTTGCCGGGTTCGACAAGTCCCTGGGTTAACAAGGCAGGGACTTGCATTTCACTTCTTTAACCAATCACAGTCTCCATTGCATGACATCACTACATTGGCCGGTTTTTTTCTCATTTTTAAACCCCAGGCTTCCAGCCATGGAGCCAAGGGGTGTGTGTGGCTCAGCAGGCTGTGATGGGAAGGTTGCCTGTCAAAGCCTTCATCATTATGATTATCATCATCTTCATCATCATCATCAGGAAGTAAAGACCTCATCCTGACGTTGCTCCTTCCAGCCTTAGCAGCTAAGCATGTTCCTATGTTTTGTATCTCTGACATGTCCCTTAACAAAAGGGATATACAATTAAAACGATACTTTAAAAATCTGTGAAGCTTGCTCCTTCACAGAAAACACTGGTTTTAATTAATGTGGTGATGTCATACAATGAAGACTGTGATTGGTTAAAGAAGTGAAATGCAAGCCCCTCCCATTGTTGCCAACCCCCCTCACAAAATTTATTTCTGCCTACACTCCTTGTTCTGAGCCCTTGTTTTCCTTCATGGGAAGTTCTGAAAATTTGCAGAGTAACAATTTACAAACAATGGGCATAAAATCATAACGGGGTGTTACAAGGTGTAAAAACACAGTCAAACAATAAATGCAAAACTGTAAAAACTGTAATGTATCTCTTTAAATAAAGATGTCTGTTAAGTAAATATGTCCTCAAATATTAAGCCAGCAAATGCATTCCTCTCTAGGGCCACAATGCTAGAATCAGGGACCTCTTTATTCTTACAACTTTCTCAACCAAAAATAATTTGTTTTTCTTCCACAAAACTGCCTCAGAATATTGACCTGCCAATCAAATCAAGCAGATTTGTGAGCTTCACCTAGGAAAGCTGCTGTAGGTGTATGTGACAGCACATTACGCTGTGTTCAAAACATCTGACACTAATTGTCAGGTTTTCTCTGAATCGGAGTTTTCACCGAACTCTGGAACAGCCTGCAGCTGGGAAGCTGTCAGAAGGCCTCAGTGTTTGATCTCGTCTCGCGAGCGGCAGGAGCGTGGCGCTGGCTGACCTGCGGCCTTTCTCCTGCGCTTTCCTGCCATGGTCGAAGAGAGCTGACTCATTGAATGAGACGCGGCGGCCCGTTGATCCGGTGGACAGGAAGCACTCCGTCTTCACGTCCTGTCCACTGGATGAGGACAGGCAGTCCTCCTCGTCCACCCGGATGGTGATCTCTGTCAGGGTGAACAGAGGGGGTGCTTAGGGCAGTCCAATGCAAACATCTGACATGGACGCCAAAAGCTACCTGCTTACCTGGAACCGGCTGGTATTCCTCCACATAGGTGGTGTTGGTCTTCTCAGGATCATCACTGGCCCTGCGTGGTGTGAGCAGAACATGACGCTCTATTTACTCTTTCAGAGCAAACGCAACCCGACCTTAAATAGAGGCTGAGCTTAATGGAGTCTCTGGAGTTTCACACTTTCAGCGAATTATACAGCTGGATCTTCTGCAGCTAGCAAGAGTAATTCAGGTTTGCAGCCAAGGTCAGATATACTATTGTTTATAATGATACAAAGTAATAGCGAAATATTAATAAACCGCAACGGTTTTCAGCCCTGGTCCTGGTGGCTCATGCTGCGTGAAAGTTTCCAGAACTTGAGTGCTCGATTGGCTCAGTTAGCGTGAAATTGACCCGATATACCAGGATGTCTCTGAATTTTAAAGCTTGTGTATCCTAAAGATGGCCCCATTGGGGGCAGCATGTGGCTCAGCGGGCGAAGCCTCAGTGCCTGCGATTGGAAGGTTGCCGGTCCGAACCGGAAAAGTCATGTCTGTGGACCCTTGAGTAAGGCCCTTAACCCTCGGTGAGTCATGGGGAGCAAGCTGGGGTTGGTGAAAATTAGAATTTCTCCATGGGGATCAATAAAGTGTCTTTTCTCTCTCCACCACACCTGCCTCAGCACCGTGAGTAAATAAAGCAACTCACCTAGAATAGCGGCGCCCCCCCTCACAGCAGCGGCGGCACAGGATCAGCAGGACAGACAGCAACAGCAGCGTCCCCCCCACAAAGACGCAGAGCAGAACCAGCAGGAGGACGTAGCCATCCTGCCCGCCAGGGCCATGCAGGAGATCCTGAGGGGGGGTGAGGGGGGTGGACACAATCTGCTCAACTTAACAGAGACCTTACAGAGAACAGGAACCTTCAAGTGAAGCAGTCCCACAGGGCGGATGAAGGCCTTAATAATACAGTACTTTGCAAAAGTATTAGGCAGTCAAAAAAAATGTTTAAGACTATTTATCTGGATAATAAGTGTATATATGCTCAGAAAAAATAGCTTTAGAATATTTGCAAACAGTTTCACATCCAGTTTCACAATAAAAAATAATAATTTCTCCAAAAAGTTACTGATGTCTTCCTGGATGGCTAGATGAACACGGCTTCAGGTCCCAAACCTCTCCTCAGGGGCACCTCAGCCATTCCATGTATTTGTTAAATTTCGTCACCAGCACAATTAACTCATGGGTTTAATTGGTTAGATAATGTGAAGAGGTGTTGATTAGCCTAAGAAGGTGAACTAATAGTCAACAAATACATAGGTTCACATGGTCACTGCAAATACTGGGGTGGCTTTAGGAATGGTTTTGAAATAGCTATGTTACAATATTTTGAAAAGATAAAATCATAGCTTTACAACAATATGACAAGATTTTGCACAATACTGCACCCGTTAATCAGTCCTGCACACTAGCTTGGCGAATTCAATTTTTAAAAACTTTTGGACTGCCTTACCATGAACTGCTTACACCAGGACATACCAAAAATCTTTCAGCCAAATCAGGATTTTAACTGGCCCGATACAGAACAGGGACTTTCCTCTACTTCAAATATTTTTTTTTCATGCATTTTCTTGTGCGTTTGTTGCAGAGGCGGACATTTCCGGTCCAGAAAGTAAAAATCCAAACCAGGATTTTGTTTCAACCAACCAGTTGAGTGCTCTGTGACTGTGACTCTTTATTCTCAACTGGTTCGTTGAGACAAAATCCTAGTTTGGATTTTTACTTTCTGGACCTGAAATGTCCGCCTCTGCTTTGTTGTGTTGTTGTTGTTTGTGTGGCCGTTTCTCGTTGTGCTCATTGATCTACGTTTCATTAAGCTTCAGTTAATAAAAATTGTATCAATCGCTCATCTCAAAGACACAGGGGAATTACAATCCCAGCCGATGCCAAAGCAGCTGGATCGTATGTCTAATCCCGGTCATTTTAAACTCCGGCCTATAAAAGTTAGCAGTGGTTAATTGGCCACAGTCAACCTGCACACCTTCTATTCTCTGGTGTCTTGTGTTCTCAACCATTGACTCCAAGGGAGCGTGTTACTATATTTAATTTGTGGCAGGTGAGAAATGTTTTCCACAATTAAAGACAGCGGCCACTGAAAGAAGCTTCAACCGAAAGGCATGATGGGAAACCAGCAGAGGACCAGCTCCCGTGACAGGATGCTCCGTCTCCTAGGTGCAAGCATAATAGGAAACTGCAAATCAACAAAATATTCTGTTTACCAAAGCATCTGTCGATCGTCACTACTGTGTTTGGCTAACAGATATGTCCAAAAAAAATATTAAATACACATTTCACACTGTTGTCAAGGAGGGACCTGTTTGGTGTATCTGTAGGTTTAACTCTACCTGAAAACTTAAGCTGTAATGATCAGATTAATAATATCCAAAAGTGAGCTGTCCGCCTTCTCTCTCGGTTACTTTCAAGAACCCCAGGTTGCCCCGGGTTTTTGACTATTGCGCTGCAGGACCAGAGACTCCTATCTGGCACTGGTGCCATCTATCTTTATCTCTGAATTACAAAAGTAATTCAGGTTCAAGTCTCAAGCTGGGAATTTGTCATTTATACTGAATTGCTTCAGTAAATATCTGACTTTACTTTAGAAATGGCTGAAATACTTTGCCGCCAAAGTTACTATGGAGGAAATAATCAGCAAATAAATAATAAATGTAGCTCTGGATGAGAGGATCAGCCAAATGAATACATACAAATGTAAACATGAGCACTGCTATTGAAACCACAACAGGTGTCTATTATGGCAGCCCATTGTATCCCTATGATCTGAGTGTGTGGCGGAAAATAATGACAGCGATGTTACACGAAGTCACAAAAGTGTCTTGGCCGTGTCCCTGTGTCCATGCAGCCCACGTGTTGCTGTTTTAATTTAATTTTTATTTTTCACCTTAGATGCACCCTGAAGTGAAAGACTGGTGAGAAAATCCTCATCCATATTCGATCCACAGAACACTGGGATGGAATCCCAGCCTTAAACCGCCCCCCAACACACACACACACACCAGGCCTAAGTGCTGGGGCCAGAGAAGCAGCAAGGCGGGTCTCTTACAGTGGCGTCGTCAGTTAGGTTTTTCACCAAGGTTGACTCATTGCTCATGGTCCAGGCAAGAAAGGGTGAGACTGTCCCCCTGAAGAGAGGGGGGGGTGACAATGAGGAAGGAGAGCAAAGACTCAGCATCTCGCAAAGTTCAAGGACAACGCCAGCGTGCTCAGAGCTGCCCATGTGTCCCCCTCTGCTGCTAGGAATCATTACAACAAATGCTGCAAAATTTCCTGATATCCAATAGACGTCGTCCATCACACCAGACCGACAGGCCATTATGCCGGCCAGACTATATCAAATTCAGCTTGTTTGAATGGAACTGCAGCAATCTGGACTTCATATTTTTATTACAACTTATACTATATAATATTTACATCCAAATTATTTTGTTTCCTGATTTCACAGCAAGTTTGACTCTGCAGTTAATGGGTTTTGAGACATCAAATAAATGGACTCTGAACCGTATTGGGTTATGGATTAATGTTTATACAGATGAATTAACCTTGCAGAACTAAGGTTTTTAAAAACTTGGATTTAGACATTTGCACTGTGTACTGCTCGTGCAATGATGGCTCGAGGCGGCGTCGTGACTGTTTCCGCCCATTGGCACGCGCCATTCCCATCTCGGCATTACCCCGGGCGTAGCACGTTCACCTGCAGTCACCCAGAACCCTATTTTTACATTAACTAAACCAGACTCGATTTCCTTACATTTAAATCGTACTGTTTAAAGCCCACACTACGAATCAATTAGTTCTTCTACAACCCACGTATAGGACTGGATCGTTTTCTTTTTTCGGCAGTTTTCGGATTTAAGATACATCAGGAAGAGGTTACAAATCTACAGACAAATTTTTACAGAAAAGGGAAATGCATGGCCCAGCTTGACATATTTATGGGAAGCGCTACGAAATATTAAAACTTTAAGAATTTGAATACATCTTAAAATATTGATTGTTGTTCGTCGTTTTAGTAATTTGTCGCGGGATCGTGGGGACCACCACCCCACCCCCCAGCAAAATTCATCGTGGGTATGTGTTTGCAAAAGTCGAGGGCCGGTTTTTAATGCTGCCCTGGGGGTACAGTATGTAAATCACCAGATAAATAAAAACATTCAGATGACGGTACACACCTGGCTGCATAATCTTTATCACAAACATCGCATTGAAAGCATTTGATCAGTTGTATATACACGCATATTCCAAATCGCAAGTTTCGGTGCCGTAACTTTAAAAGGCTTGAGTGATAAGAAACATACGTCTGAACCGACGTGTGAGTTACTATTATTAATTTATTGCGATAGATCAAGATCCCGTCCTTTTTGGGTATATGAGATTTCCCTTTCATGTTTGCACTGAATTATCCTTATTTATTAAATCAATTACAAGTCTAATTGTACAATTATTTGTTTAGGCTATTAAAGACTTTTATATTACCGCCGTGCATCAGTGATCGTTATCTATACCGCTCACTGTAATAAATATGAAACGACAATACTTTAAAGAGTCACTGCCAATTTTTATGACCAAATAATGAATAATATGTTAGTACATAAACGACTATATATACCTGCCTTACCTAATGCTGGAGTACTTATACAGTCTGAAGCGTGGGTAACTTTCGGACCACTTTAAAAATATAAAATAACGCGTACTATTTTAATGTCATATAATTTTACTAAGAAAAACCGCAATGCCACACAGTAATGATTATTTGGCAGCTAGTGTGGGTTATTCTTACTGCCAAATATGGAGAATGTGCATTGTCAGTCTTCTTCGTAGAATGCTTGGTCTATACATAGACTACAGCAACATAAGCAAATCAAACGGATATATGTCAAATATGTCTGTTCCGGGTATGATCCGGAGCTAGCCTGGAGCTATTAAAATTATTATTTCATATCACGTTTTGCACTTGTTTTAATTCGTTGGAACATATTTTATAACGTGACAAATATGGCACAGATTACGATTAGTTAGAAAATTTTTATTCCTTAGTCGAGGTGCACATTGTTTGGAGAATTTACGTAGAATGAAGATCACTTCGAAATAAAACAGTCGTCCTACGTCTCCCCAAACAAACTGTCAGCGCCCCATTTAACTAAAGCGTAAATTTCTACACATATCCTCAATGTGCGCTTCCTTTGCTCGCCAGCAGAATAGTGACATCCGACCGCAGTGGTGCTTCGGGTAGCATCACTTAAACCGTCACCGAGACTGACACACAACGTGAATGATAACTGGCTGATAAATCTATTTTATTTGAACAATTATATTTTATAATATTTCCGTCAAGGAAGATATCCGTTTTGCCAAAACTCAGCTGGAGTCGCACAGTATAGATCCGAAGTGGACAACTTATTATCGTGTCTACGATATTTCCAGTTTTTAAGTGCATCTTACAAAAGCAGAGCAGAGTGCGATACCCCTCAAATTTCCGTTTCTTATCAGATCACATATAGAGGCAAGTGTAACAACTCACACACGCTGGTAAATGTTTAGAGTCAGCTAAGAACGGCATCATCATATAAGACATTTCGTTATGATATTTTCGGCAGTGCACATAGCCACAATAGGTTATTCCATGCCTGAAAGAAAGACGATTCGAACGAACAAGACTCACCTAACTGTAATCTACCTGGTCCATGCAGGGATATTCGGTGTTAAAATAATGGAATCGGTCAGCTCCGAAATAAACGCTTATGGTATTTATGAATGAAACACTATGGGTTAGGACACACCCACAAGCCCGCTCTGGAAAGCACCATGTGATGTAGCCGATGACGAACTAGCTGGTTACGTACAAGCGGGTAATAAGTGAGTCTTTTTTTCTCCAAGAAATCGTGAAAATTCAGAGATGAAAAAGCGTAAATTTACCATCAACGTTATGCACGACTTAGTGATGTTTTATAAATACCGCAAGCTTCATCATTCGATTTGATGTTTTTAAGACAGATAAATTTACAAAAATTATTTTGTACCTAATTAAAAAGTATAATATATCACTGACGACTGAGGCACATGCAAAAAAAAATCCAAAGCTTTCTTAAAGTGTACAAGGTTTCCAAGGTCGTATGATCGGCACCTTGTCCAAGGTCCCTTAATACCCCTTTGTTACAATTTTGCTAATCATTTGTCAACGGAGCGATTTTTAAAACCGTTTTTTACATTTTTATTTATACTATATTCAATCCGAGAATTAAAAAAATGTTGCTGGTTGTATTTGCTGGACACTGAATTGATGAGACGTACAGAACTAGAATATCGGTATATGATTTTTTTATTAAATTTTGTCGCGGCTAAACAACTACAAGACAATCGGTTTTATGACCTCTCCACCGTCATTGCACTCTCGTCATTGCGTATCCTCAAGTCGGAGGTTTATGCAAAAGTTGCCTTTGTAGAATCATACTTATAAAAGGGGTAAAACATATATGATACGGTAAAATAGGCACACATATATGTGTGTCTGTGTCTGTTAGTCTTGCTGGTCTGGATGTGCCACGTATTTTTTATGGTATAGTTATATATAAAAAGGTGTGATGCGCGTGGATGTTTCGATCTTCGATATAGTTATGTGTAAAGTTAAAATTATCCTATGCCGTAACACATGCTAATACGCATTCTTTATTTGACACTCTGACTGCGCCACCTCTCGGTTAGATATGCAATTTGAAATAGTGAAGAATATTTAGCAAGTTGGTGATTTTGCAACAATTAATTCTGTAATTTCTGTCGTGGATATTGTACATTATTTTAGACGTAAAATTTTAATGAATATACTGTAAGCCTGGATAAATCAATCCATCCATATTCCAATCTCTTATTCAGTACAGATACCTGTCCCAGGCAACACAAGTCACAAAACAGGGGAGATACCCCAAACGAGATGCCAGACCGTCTCAGTGCGCTCACAGTTACATTCTGTGGTCAATTTAGGGACACCAGTGTCAGAGAGAGCCTGCAGTTCAATTGACTTCATTTCCCATGGTCCTTTGCGGAATTTGCGTCGTGGGGGTGGATCCTGCCCTTGTCTCGCTTGCCCTTTTAGTGGCACGCCGCTTGGTGGACCTGAATGAAGGTGTAGGTTGCCGGTTGAAAGTGTGTTTTTTAACATCTCTTAAATACGTGCAGATTTAAGCAACATGTTTGCAGCTCGGTCTCTTGTTCGTCGCGCATTTCCAGTTCTGCGTCAAACACGGTGGTACGCCGACCCGCCGTCTGCAACGTCCCAGATGTCCTTCACGTTTGCCTCGCCGACCGAGGTAAAGAGCCCGGGGATAACCGCTGCGACTATGGCCTACAAAAAAAATACCTGGGCTGCTGGTTTATCTTATCTAATAATCTGTTTGAGGAGTTGCTAAATGTCATTCAACATTTCATTGAAATATTAACGGGATGTGGATAAATGAATCCAATGACATTGGCATTAGAATCTCTTAGCATGCTAGCTAGCGTGATATGTTGTCTAACCTCAGTTTTTGTACGGTTAAGGAAATGTGTTAAATCTGTATTTAACATTTAATTGTAGATTAAACGTTTTATAATTGTTTAATACATCTGCCAGATTTATGTTGTTCGGATCGCTGGATCGACAAAGGTGCAAGTGCCAGATAGGCCTGCTAAATCTTAGCTGTTAGCCGAGTGGTTTCCTCTAGCCTTTAGCGAGATTTGGAAAATATGCTAAATTAGATGCATTGCTGTCTTAATTACCGTTGCAACTATTAATATGATGTTGACATTTCTCATCAGTTCAAATAGATAGTTATTGACTGCAACCCCCAATTAAAACGGGGCGACAAGAAAGGTTGACGTTATGTCACCATACAGTTGGCAGCTTTGTGTGTGTAAACTTTGCCGAGGTGAAATCAGCTTTAGGTTGGATATTCAACAGATAATCAGATCCACACTCTCCAGACCCAGCGGCGGTGTTTCACTCATGCAAGACGGCATAAAGCGGCCAGATGATAGCTTACCGCTAATTTAGGGACCGTCGATGAATAACTTCCATGCCACGGGATCCAGAGACTCCAAAATGGGTGCAGATTGTAGAATTACCTGAGACACACCGGGCACAGCAACTTTTATTCATTTTAACCGTTTATTGTATTTGTTCCCCCATAGCTTCTAGGCTGTGGGAGCCAGTGATCCAAAATCATGTCCAAATTATTGTACTACGTGAGACTCGCAGGACACAGCAGCTATCATCTGCGAGGCTGTGGAATGACCCCTAATACCGGCTAGCGTGAATGAAATACCGCCGCTAGGTCTGGAGAGTGTAGATCTGAATATCTGTCGAATATCCAACCTAAAACTGATTTCACCTCAGTTCTCAGTGTTGATTAATCAGATGGTACATTTACGTGTACGTGTGTCTGCATGGCGCTGACCAGTGACTGCTTACTGGTGCTTGTAGGTGTTCTATAAGGAGGCAAACGTGAAGCAGATCGACGTGCCCACGCTGACCGGCGCCTTCGGGATCCTTCCTGCTCACGTGCCCACGCTGCAGGTCCTGCGGCCTGGTGTGGTCACTGTCTTCAATGAAGATGGTTCTTCTGCAAAGTATTTCGGTGAGAAGCCCTGTTTTAACACCTTATGTTGTCTGGCCTCATTATTTTCTTACTTAAATTTGGTGTTTGGTTAGCACTGTTGTAGCGCAGTGGTTAGCACTGTTGCCTCTCACCTCTGGGAGCCGGGTTCGAATCTCCGCCAGGGTTCCCTCTGTGTGGAGTTTGCATGTTCTCCCCGTGTCCTAAGACATGCTGCGGTTAATTGCAGTCGTCAAATTCCCCATACGTGTGAATGCTCTGGAATCCCACAATCCTGAATAAGACAAGTGGATATAGACAATTGATAGATGGAAATTTGATATTTCACATCCTACTGTAGTAACCTGTTTCCATTGACCCTTATGGAGCGCTCTTAGTTTAACGCTATCATTTTAATGTTATTTTGTAGCCTTTCTTGTAAATGATGTGCATGAAATATACCGTGCTGAGCTATGCAGTGCTTTCATTTCTGTTTGGTTTTTGAGAAATCTGACTGTCCATAATCAGAATACACCATTTCTTGCATAAAATTAATGGGGCTGTTTCTGGATGGATAAAGCAGTAATACAAACGGTGCGATTGTTTTCCAAGTGTAACTTGTGTGGCAGTGATGGTGAATAGAGTATTTCCTGTTGGTTTAATTAGAAATTGAGCAGTATTTAAGCATTGTACTGCCCTGCTGTGGTCATACGATTTTCTTAAAAGTGTTGACTTAGTTTCTGTGATGCAGTGTGGATTGAAAGATAATTTCGTACAAGGCACAGACATACTGAGAGATTTAAATGTTGACCATAGTCAGTGATGCCCTTTCTTAATCTTGCTTATCAACACACTGCGGTCAGTAAGGGTGCCTCTGTTTCTCAGTGAGCAGCGGTTCTGTCACAGTCAATGCGGACTCATCCGTGCAACTACTGGCCGAAGAAGCCGTAACCCTCGACAGCCTGGACCTGGCGGTGAGTCCTGCTCTCTTCAGAGAATCCAACCCGGTTTGTGGATTTTCTGGTTCAAACACACTTACTTAACCTTATAATTAGCTGATTAAGATGTGTTTGAGCAGAGAAATCAGCAAACTGGGTTGGATTCTGGGCCTTCAGAACTGGAATTTGGGAACCCTGCTTTAGAGCATGTAAGCAACGATACTCTTCGATTTATGCTGATGTCGTCGTTCTTGCAGAATGAGGCTGTCATGGGAACTTTCACCTCTATCTGTCCAGTCATGGGCAAATGCCTCTTTTTATTTATGAAACAGGCTTCAAACTTGTGTTAAATCTCTCATAGGTCAATTCTATGCCAAGGTTCCTTTGATGTCACATCCATAAACCTGCTGTGTTTTTCTAACTGGTAGATTTTGTAGATTTGTCTATATTCCGCCTAAGAGGTTATTTGAAAAGAGATGCAAATTCACAAATTGAGACTTGCCCATGCTCTGAGGCATTTTGTTTGCTAATACTAGCGTACTTGTAGTATTTTGGAGTTAAAGGCTAATGCTGCTTTTCCTAGACGGCCAAAGCGAACCTTGAGAGGGCCCAGGTTGACCTCGGGACAGCCACGGACGAGGTGTCCAGGGCGGAGGTACAAATCAGCATAGAGGCCAACGAGGCCATCGTCAAGGCCCTGGAGTAGTGCCTCCGTAAGTGCCTCTGTTGGTACCTCCAGGTGAGAATCATGCTCATACTCCACCACCTGTTTACATTATAATGGTCTGCTCAAGTGTTTTCAGTTTATTGATTTATTTATTTTTTTAAAACTAGCCTTGCTTGATCTAAAAGTCATTCCTGCCTGTTGCTGTATTATTGTATCAGCGCTCTTCTTAATATAAATGGCTTCTTTATCTTCCCAAGAACAGTTGTTTCTCTAGTGAGATGGAATCAGCTCCGTAAGAAATATTGTGTACTGACCAGTGACGTATTTCTTAGGTACTCTGTTATACTGGCGTGAAGGAGTGACTGAAAACCGTCTGTCTCCATCCCTGCAGATTCAATTCTTTAAGCGCAAGACACCTGTGCTTTGTACAGTGGATGAAATTACCAATAAATTTATTTGGAATAACACTTCTGTGCCCTGTCAGTGTGTGTTTTCTTTTTTCATATTCCTTGGGTCAGATTGTGGGTTTCTTTCCCTCCCTGCTCCATCAGTAACTGCTCCATCAAACAGAACTGACATCTGTCTCTGCCAGAAATAATAGTTCACTTGCTTTCCAGAAGGTGTCGGTAAAGTACCTTTTTTTATATTGGTACGCTTCGGAGAGTTTCCTTCCCTTCTCATTATTTGTGTAGCTAAGATTTGTCATCTGTTCTTATAAGGAAATAGTACTGATTAAATAGTGTCACAGAAGCAGGACGTTTTCTGCTGCATTTTATTTTGTTGCTGTTGCAGGAATTTTGTGGTTACTGAGTAGTTTAGATGGTGGTTCTCCATCCTGTTCCCGATGTCTCCCCCCTGCCGCGATGTTTGCAATCCAACCCCCGCTGCTTCCACCCTGCCCACGTCCATTATTAGCCTGTTAAGGACCTTATAAGCCTGATCAATGTAGGGTTTAGATGAAACTATTACATCACATATAAGAAAAGGGACCGCTTTTTTTGCAGGACGCTTTCCGACAGACTGATGTGGCCTCAGCTGACATTTTGCTCAGGATGAAATGAGCGACTTCAGCTGACAATGGCTGTTGAATTGCGTTTCCGTTTGCCGTGCTGCTCTTTATATGGGCAAAACTTGAATGTCCAGACCCCCGTCGTCCCTTCGGGGGCGGGTGTGTTATCACAGCCCTATAGCCATTGTTCTGTTCGTGGTCTGTGTGATTGGTTCCGGAAATGCGCTCATTGTATCGGGAAAAACATTACTACAGTTTGTGGTGGATTAAGCTGGATCTTTTTTTTTTTTAAAGATTCCAGTAAATGGGCTGTTCATTCTTTGGGTTGAGATGGGGGTTTTTTTTTTTTCCCGCTGTCAGATAAAGGAGCGTTTTTACAGGCGTCTCCCTCCATGGAAAGATCTCCAAAGAAAGTTGGCGACAAGGTGCTGATGTCGGACGCGGGAGTGTAAGCGTGGGCGCAGCCATGTCCTTCAGCACAGCGTTTCCCCGCCCAATCCTTCGGGGCCCCCAGACGGTCCAGGTTTTTTGCCCCCTCCCAACAAAATGAAGAGTGATTGTGGGCGGGGTTTAAATGTAGAGGGAGCCTGGTGGGGGCCCGATCTTGATTTCCTTATGTCCAAACGTCCCAAATGTTAGTAAAAGGTTCAAAGCGAACGGTCAGTTTTGCGCTAAGAATCATGTTTTTTTCCATAAGGTTTAATGCTAATATCTATTAATAGCTCTAACCAGACATTCAAGGGGCAGCGTGTGGCTCAGTGGGCTGAGCCGTGTGTTTGTAATCACAACGTCACCGGTTCAAGCCCAGCCTCAGCAGGGCTGCAGGTCCTTCAGTAAGACCCTTAACCCCCCAGGTCCCTGGGTGCCACTACAGGTGGCTGCCCTTCACGGACAGCTTGCACTGCAAAGAGCAAGTTGAGGGAGGCATAAAAAAGAATTTCCCCACAGGGATTAATAAAGTGTAAATTATTATTATTTCTCGAATGTATGAGATATTCCTGCATAGTGCTTTAATTTCTGCCCCGTGTTTTTGTATTTTGACTTATTTTGCTTACCCTAATGCTGCCCAAACTTCACCTACTATCGAGTCTTTGCTACGTAGAGAGTGTTTAAGAAGCAATTAGTTAATAAATGGATAACTTGATGCAGTTTCATGAGGGCATTAGGAATTAATAAGCAAGAATATTAGCTTATGGAAGTTTTACTTGCACAAAAATGTTCTGAGGGCAGAAGGAAAAATGATTGGTTCTCGCTCAGCCAATCAGATTTTGGATGAGGTGGGACCAGGCAATCAGATACCCCTGACTCTGTACCTGACAGGGCTTTCTAATTCTGATTTAACCCCTTGATAGTGGGTGATTGGACCTGCCTGACAGGCACTGTGCTTTGTTTCCCCTCATGATAGAGGGCTTGTATCCATGTTAAACTGTATGTGGCTCAAGGGATTAGGGCACTGAGATCTATGATTGGTTGCCAGTTCAAATCCCATGTCTAGCAAACCAATGCCCTTAAGCAGGATGCTTAATCAGCTTCAGGGGTGCAGGATACTGGCTGTCACTGGGAAATGGCTGCCCCAAACTAGTTCTCACCTGTCTTTGGGTCTCATGGAGCGCCAGGTGGTATCGCTGAAATAGCAGTTTCCCCATTGGGATCAATAAAGTAATGTGTCTGGCACATCAGAAGGTTCTAGGTTCAACTCCTTGCTGACTTAAGCATGTCTCTTGGGGACAGTGTGGCTCAGTGAGTTAGGACTCTGAACTCCTGTTCATAAGGTTGCTAGTTCAAATCCCAGGACCAGCACATTGTTGTCACTGTTGGGTCCCTGAGCAAGGCCCTTAACCCCCAGGTGCACTGCACTCTGGTTGACCCTGTCATGTGACCCCCAAGCTTGCTCTTACCTGTATGTATGCCTTACAAAGAGCAGGATGGACTGGGTGGGGCGGAAGTGTGGATTCTTTATTTGTTTTTGTTTTTTTTAAATCATAGTGGAAGAATTTGTGGAACTTTGGCACATTCTGGCTTCATAAACTGTAATCTGTGAATAAGGCTGCAGTTGCTCACTGATTGGGGACTGAATATGGGTGGATGTTTGGTCATGTGGATCTTGCTCCTGGTTCAGGGAGCTGGCTTTGTGAGCAGACCTGCAGCTTCGCCTTAACACCGATGATGGGTTACTGAACACCCGTATTTGCTCGGTTAAACCTGTTTGAACATCAACAATACGGTGATCATGTTAACAAACATTTATAGCTGGGCACTTGATCGATATCTGTAAAGCTTGTTTAGATATGGCTGGGTGGTCACTGCATAAGAAGATGACACACAACCCTCCCAGACTTTAGTCAAGCCTGAAACACCCACCTTCAGGCAGTTAATTGGCTTTAAGCCTGACACAAAAACAATGAATGGCTTTCAGGTGATGACCCACATGTGAGTCTTTGTGCTTGTCTATGATATCTGTGATCTATGATGCTGGCTGCTGTCTTGTGTTTGTTTCCCGTTGCCCTGAGAACAGACGCCGGCCTTATATGATCTGCCGTTCTGTTGTTTATGGTTACCTGAGGCTACACGCCCTGCAGGAACCCAGTGAGCCACTAACACCTGCGCCGTATGGGTCGCACATTTGTGGAGACCTGCACAAACAGGTATTTGCATTTTATCTTAGCATTAGATTGTATCGCAATCAGTGTGGTATAACCGGGTATGTGAGATTTGTGTGAATCGCATGTGGAATTCCAGCCTTCTGGAAACAGGTGTCGGAGTCGTAGCGCTTACTGGTTGCCCTCCTGTAGTGCTAACAATATTTACGACAGTCTCCAAAGCAACCAGCATAGAATACAGATTTATTGCTTTATTCTTTTACATGACCAGCCATCCATATTTTTTCACACTGCTTCACAGATGAGGGTGGTCGTCTTGTCTATACGGCTGGAAGATGCTCACATATACAAACATACATGTGTGTTGATAAATACGGCAAGAATTTTAAGTCAACTTCTTACGTAAATTTAATTTGCTTTGTGTTACTATGTATAGTAATACAATGAATGTACTTTAATAGATTGTTATGTCAAGGCCATTGAGAAGCTGGATTAGGTGTTGTGTAATCATACGATAGAAGTATGCTTACAGGTCTATGGGAAAGACCAGCTGCTGAATTGTGCAATATTGTTCCAGAATTGGCTGCTTTGACATGTTTGTTTTTTTTCTTCTTTTAATTAAAACCTAGGCATTGTTAAAATCACCTGTATGGCAATTTAGTCGAGAAGCCTGGAAGACATCATCAATCATAATCATCGACATCGTCAATCATAATCATCGACATCATCAATCATAATCATCGACATCATCAATCATTAACATCATCAATCACCAGGTCTCTCTGTCTGAAGTCACAGCTTGTTTTGGGGGATTCCCAGATGTCAGCTGAGAGATATAAGTCCTGGACCATGTTCCTGTGGTGGTTGCCCACAGCTCATGACCACTGCTAAGGATAAGGACATAGATTGACTGGTGAAACATGGGGCTCATCCGATCATTTTAGCTTTACCCACAAAACTGTATCCATCAAACCTTTCTGCCTGTCAGTCTCACGTTCCCACATACCAGCACATGGACAACATACCAAGGTACATTAATGAAGGAGTTTAAGTTAGACTCTCTTCCCTCACATGAAAGGAACAATTTATTCTTTTCCAAATCAGCATCATGGCCTCAGATTTGGTGGCACCGATTCCCATCCCTGCAACTTCACGCTTGGCGTCGAGCCACTCGAGTGCGCACTGGAGGTCCCGCTCTGATGACGGCAAAATCATCAGCAAGGACCAGGGACGTCGCTTCTACTCCTGATACTAGACATCTTTCCAGCCAAGGCCATATAATGACATCCATGACATGAGCCCATGATGTCATTACAGGGGTGGAGACTAGATGCACCCTTTCTAGAGGCAACACCCAATGTAAACAACTTTGAGCCTGCGCAACAAATGCAGACACACCTCTTACTACATACAGGAAGTGAATAGCATAGAGTACTGACCCAGGTGCCCCAAATTCCAGTAATGCCACCTATAGTATGAGCTGGGCCATACAGTCATATGCCTTCTCATCTCGTCATATGCCAACATAGTACATGTAGATTGCATCAGTATGTTCCTGTAAAACTTCACCTCACTGAAGTGTATGAGAAGAGCAAGTTGCTTCAGTTTTCTGTGGCCAGACCAGAATATGGATTGTTCCTGCTGAACCCTAGGTTTATCTACTGGGCTGAGTCTTCCCTGCAGTATCTGGGGACAGACTTGATCGGGGAGGATGAGAAGCGTGGTCCCTTGCAGTTGGAACATCTATTGATCCCCCTTTTTAAAAATAGAGGCCACTGGCCCTGTTTATAAATCCAGAGGTACTTTACTTCCCTGGATGGACAAAGGCACCTGCCAACTAAAGGAAGTAACAAATTTT